TTCAAAACCCAGCGATTCGGCTGGTCGACGGTGCCGGGGAGGAGGAAATAGCCGAGGATTCCGACGGGAATGGTGATGATGGCGCAGATGATGTACATCCACCGCCACCCAGCCATGCCATGGACGCCTTCCAAGCGACGCGTTGCGCCGGCGGCGATCAAGCCGGCCGTTAGCGTTCCGAGATTGAGTCCTGTGTAGAATATACCACCCCTGCGAGCGATTTCATGGCCGCGGTACCACGAGCCAAAGACATAATGCATAGCCGGGAAGAATGCAGCCTAAATGTATCGTCAGCTCCATACGGCAGACGCCAGGGATAGTAGGGGAGTCCATGCACAATGCCTGTCCTCGGCGATTGGCGGGCAGGTGCAGGAAGCTCCAATACGATAGACCACGAAGTCATGAAATTCCACATACCTCGAAGAAGCCAACCATGAATCTGTAAGCAGCCATTTCTCCAAAGGTCTGTCCCCGGTATTGAAGAAGCGTAAAAAGACCCCACAGAATGTCCATCGCTGGAATCGTCCAGTACATGGGAACGTAGGTGAAGAGAAACATGAAAGGCACCATGCCAACAACAGCGCCGACGGTGTACATGGTTTGGAGCTCAACCAACTCGTTGCCTTGAAAGCCGAGCTCCTCTTTCATGCCTCCAACATAGGCATTGTCTAGTCTTGTCAGCGCTTGATTGGAACAGCGGCCAAACCGTTTGACCTACTCAGGTTCGCCTGATCGATGTACTTGACCCAGTAGCTCAATACCGCATACGGAACGACAATCATGTCAAGCTTGACAATGAGCTTGCGCTCCTCGGGCGTGTCATCGTCAGAGTACCATTGAATCTTCCACCACTTTTTCCTCGGAACGGTGTCGGCGGTAGGCATTTTCGGCAATCAGCACAAAGATGGCCGTTGGAAAGTCCTAGACAAAGACGAAATGTGGCAGAAGGCCTTTCAATCCAAGAGCTTCCCAGCACCAGGGAGCTGGGACAATTGATTGATAACTGCTGCCCACCCGCCCCTGCACGTCAAAGTTCTCCCACCTTATCGATTGCGCCAGAGTCCCTGGGCCTTGTGCCATGCGAACCACCCACTGCCCAGGCCTGCATTTGTGGGAAGAGTCCCGCTTCCGCGCATCCCCGGAAGTCGGACGGTGCCCGACCCTGGACAACCAACGAAGCGTTCTGAGAGGTGCCTCGTGGCATCTGCGAAGCCTGCCGGGAGTTGACCGACAATTTGGACGCTGAGTGCGCGTCTTGAACGGTCGTCGGCTGAAAAAGGATGTGGGTGGGGCGTGTGGCTGAACGACACACGAGGGGACTGCGCAAGACAATGGACTCTGGTTGGTGCTCAACTCGTTGGCCGACGGGCCCAAACATGCTTAAAGTCGGAGATAAAGCCTGAAAGCGACTTTTCGATGGATTGTGGTGGCACGTTGCGGAGGATTCCGCTGCGTGCGCGGGGTTGGGTTGGCTGGCTAGAAATGACGTGCTTGATGCTGGTGATGGTGCCAGACACGCAGATTGGCAGCGCGATCACCGAGGCTGTCCTGGTCTTCGGATCATTTTGCACCAACCATAGAGCATGCAGATTTTGAGGACTTTCGCGTTGGTTTCCATGGTAATTTGATGACGCCGGTGTAGATTCGGCGACAGGATTGCGGCGAACTCTCACCGAACAGTCAACCTGGATAGCAGTTGGTCTAGAGATGCACTGGACCCAATCATGTTTCCTGGGTTCCTCTTTGTAGCCCAACCATGCGGCAAATACCTTCACTCAAAATCAACTTCATCAAAAGGGTGACACAAAGATTTCCGCTTTGTGCTAAATGTTCCGTGTCGTTGAGACAAAATGCTGCCTGTAGTCGGAACATCGCTGAAGTAAGGTTTTGAATGTGAGCAAACTCATGGTTTGAGTTATCACGTCAGCGCCTAGTGGTTGCAACCAGCTCAGAGCGTTCGGTTGACTCTGTCTATCGAGTCTCCGAACCCTCGAATAGGGTTGGCGCTCAGCCCCCAAAGGTTGAGTGCTGCCAGCTTCTGGAAAAACTCAGCCTAAGATGGCTTTCCTATTAATAAAGGGCGAACAAATTGCGCCGAAGGTCCAGGCTAGGCTCGGAGCTTAGCTTGTATTCATTGCAACATCGTTACTTCTGCGGAAAATTCGATGGACCGGCTCTGGAGAAGTCTCTCAAGAGTTTGTGCCAACGCGCTGAACATAGAAACCTTTGACTTCGTAGTAGTTGAGCCAAACCACACCTTCAACAAACCTCTTGTCTCGTGGGTGTGCGACAAGATCTGGGTTCTTAAGCTTATTGAAAGTTCGGACTGACGAGGGGGTGTAGGAGACAGTTTTGTCGACGTGTCTGCAACCGTCAGATTATGCGACCGCGACGTGCATTTGTTTCCACTCACAGATAACAATCAACTTGCAATATTGTCAAAACAACAGCTTCTTTGTAAAACTGCGCCACAACTTGCCCGTCGAGAGTCAATCAACTTATCGGACCCAAGACGACTGCCGATTGCCGACTTCTTAATCTCTCGACTTCCTCCCGAGCGGATCCCGCGGATGCAACACTGCCACTGAATCGTCGTCCCATCTTTTCCACTCCGGACTGGAAAGCCGACGCAGCCTCCGTGTTCGCAACACCTCCATCGACCGGGCCCTAAATGACGCTACGTAGGGTCCCTCGGACGTTTCTGTCTGAGCAGAAAAGAAACCTTGGTACACCGGACGACTCCAGCGGTTCCCCCGCGCCACCCACTCCGATGGCGTGCACGAACCTTACTGGCTGGATCGTCATCCCAACGTCGAACACGGAATACGCAAACCGCCTCAAGACAGTTTCACGCCGTGGCCCAATCTGCCATTGTTGCTTACCAACATCATGACTTGACTTGTCCGTACGGTTCTTCAGTTGGGGGTTTCCGAAGGACACGAAGCAAGTGACGAGAACAGCGAATGTATAGTTATAAGATGGATGCATTTCCAAAGGACATTGAGCCCTTGGTGGTGAAGGTTGAGCGACTAATGCAGGTGTTTCATTTTGCTTGAAATGGACTTTCTCAAAACAAACCCCCTCTATCTCGGAGGCGCACTTTTGTGCGTCGCCCTAGCTACGGTAATTTCTTCAACAGCATAGAGGAACGACGAACGAAACTAATGGCGCACGATAGTACATATATCAAGGTCTCACAAACCCTTTATCAAACATACCAGGACCGTGGTACACACGGTTCACAACCCTCGTATCAACATATTTCGTCATCACCGCTCATCACCCTGACTGGGTGCACGCTCTGCATGCAAAATACGGCCCCGTGGTGCGAATTAGTCCACACGAAGTCGACGTCTCTGATCCGCAAACATGCCAGCGTATCCACAGTGTCAAGGGGGGCTTTTTGAAGTCTCCCTTCTACTCGCTCCTCATCACGGATTCGTCCAGCGTCTTCAACGAAATTCGGCCAGAAATCCACCGCAAGTACAAACGCCTGCTGTCGAACCCAATGTCAGAGACTGGACTGAAGACGTTTTTGCCACGCATTGACGGCAAAGTACGCATGGCCATCGAGCGTATCCGGGACGAAAATAAGACTCGTGGAGCTGCGGACATTGCCAAGTGGTTCATGTTTCTATCATTCGACGTCATTGGTGACCTAACCTTCGGCGAGGGTTTCGGTCAGCTGGAAAGCGGCGTTGTAAGTACCACAATCAACGTACCTTTACTGGACCTTGAATCTCACACAACCCAGAAAAACAGATCCGTCAACGACTTCATCAGCCTCGGCTTCGTCGGCGGCCTGCGCTCCATGTTCCCCACCATCGCCTGGTTCTCCCTCTACCTGCCCATCCCCGTCTTCCGCGACGCCACCAAGATCCAGTACCGCACCTTCGACTACGCGCAGGGCGCGCTCGACCGGCACGCCGCGCGCGTCGAGGAGACCGGCGACGACCCCAAGCCGACCGTCTTCTCGAAGCTCTACACCGCCGGCGAGGAGGACAGCTGGTCGCCGATCGAGATCCGCGACAACGCGCAGGTCTTCATCGTCGGCGGCAGCGACACCACGGCCAACTCCATGATCTACCTCATCTGGGCCGTCTGCAAGCTGCCCGACGTCAAGAAGAAGCTGCTCGCCGAGCTGGCGACGCTGCCCGAAGACTTTGGGTACGAGGACCTCCGCGAGATGCCGTACCTCAACTGGATCGTCAACGAGACGCTGCGGCTGTATACGGCGCTGCCGTGCGGGTTGCCGCGGATTGTGCCGGCGGGCGGGTCGGAGCTTGCGGGGCATTTTATTCCGGAGGGCGCGACGGTGACGACGCAGGCGTATAGTTTGCATCGTGATGAGCATGCGTTCCCGGATCCGTATAGGTTCTACCCGGATAGGTGGGAGCATACTACACAGGAGATGAAGGATTGCACCATGCCCTTTGGCGGTGGCTCCAGGAGTGAGTGTGACTGTGATGCTTTCCTGATTGCCTTGCTTACCAATGCAACAGCTTGTCTCGGACGTCACCTCGCTCGCATCGAACTTCGCCTGATCACCGCTCGATTCTTCCGCAACTTCCCCAATGCGACTGTGTCTGAGTTGGAGGGCATGTGCGACAAGGACATGGAGCCTGCTTTGCACTTCCTGATGGTTCCGAGCGGCCATAGATGCCTGATCAAGCTCAATGGCAGTGCATAAGCTGCAATATCAATGTTGTGACTCGCGGAATTAGCGTGTCAAAGGCATCGGGGTTGACACCCATCTTCATACAGTAAAATTCATAGAACTGAATTCTCTCTGAAAGTGAGCTGTCTCGTACCTCAATTTCGAAATCGTGCATATTATGCAACACTACCAAACACCACCTCCCCGCCGGCCTTGATTTGGTATCAACTTAATGCTCCCTACCATCACTTACTCAACTCCTGAAGCCATGAAAAGTCTCCACCGTGCTGAAAGTAAAAGGGTTGTGTAACAGAAAAGGAAAAGAAAACAGGATTTGCCACGTTTAGTCCACGTCGATGACTACTTTGAGAGCACCGTGCTGCGCTGCTGCTCCGAAGGTCTCATACGCCTTCTCCATCTCGTTGAGTTTGAAATCTGCATCTTTCGTAAGCCACACGTTTGAATTAAAAGTGGAAGAGTTGCCCTTACGATGAGTAATCAGTTGAGAAGGCTGCAGCTTGCCAGACTGCACCAGCTTGAGAAGCATTGGCGTCGTCGTCGTGTCTACAAGCCTAGTGGTGATTGCTAATGTGTTGTGTCAGTCCTATGCCCAATATCTGATTCCCTTTCAGTCAAGGCTTACCAATGTTCTTGTCCCAAAGATTCTGGAGGTGAAGGTCAACCTTTGTTCCGTGAACACCAACGTTCGCCAACACGCCACCAGGGGCCAGCAACTCCTGGCAGAGGTCAAACGTGGCAGGAATTCCCACAGCCTCGATCACAGAGTCGCAGCCCTTGCCCTCCGTCATGGCCTTAATGTCGGCGACAGCAGTTCCCTTGGAGCTATCCACAACATCAGTAGCGCCAAACTTCTTGGCCACCTCCAACCGGTTCGGATCCGTATCAATTGCAATAATCTTAGACGGCGCATACATTTGCGCCGTGATAATCGACGCCAACCCAATCGGCCCGGACCCCACGACAGCGACCGTCCCGCCAGGCTGCACCTTGCCGCAGAGCACGCCGCACTCGTACCCCGTCGGGAAGATGTCGCTCAACATAACCAGCGCCGCCTCGTCGGCGCCCGCGGGGACGGGGTGCAGGCTGCTCTCGGCGTGCGGGATGCGCACGTACTCGGCCTGCGTGCCATCAATCGTATTGCCGAGGATCCAGCCGCCGGTGGTGCAGTGGCTGTACATGCCGCGGCGGCAGTACTCGCAGGTGCCGCAGTTGGAGATGGCCGAGATGAGGACCTTGTCGCCCTCCTTATAGCGCGCGACGGAGGCGCCCGTCTTGTGGACGACGCCGACGCCCTCGTGGCCGAGGATGCGGCCCGGGGAGCAGGTGGCGACGTCGCCCTTGCGGATGTGCAGGTCCGTGCCGCAGATGGTCGTCTTGGAGACCTTGACGATCACGTCGGACGGGTTGACGATGTCCGGGAGGGGCTTGTCCTGGAGGGTGACGGAGTTGTTGCCGTTGTAGACGAGGGCCTTCATCGTGGAGAGGTAGCGCAGGGTGAGGGGGCTTGCTGAGAAGGCTTTGCGGGGGAGGGTTGAGGAGATGCTGGTGAGCGCTGGGAGATGGGATCGCGAGGCGCGGAGCAGGAATGATTTGGCTGCTCGCGAGGTGGCTGCCATTGTGAGGACCAGGTGAGTGACTTGTGCGGGGTTGTTCGGCTGACCGGATGGTTTTCAGTAATGGTTCCAATGGGTACTACACAAACTGCGGAGAGGGGGGAAGGTTCCAGTTTCTCGGATGAACAATTCAATCGAGAAGGTTCAAAGTTGGAGAATGAGAGTGCGTCAAGTGTACTTTCAAGCGTAGATGTGGGTGGTAACAGACAAGTTATAGCGTCACTTGTGAGCCTACTGATTGATGTAAGATGGCGAGATGGGCCTCGGACTACGGTATCCTGCAAAGGCTATCATTTTATCAGATCATTTGACTGCCAAAAGTGCGCTGGATCCGTGGTCTGATCTTCCATGTTGGTTCGGCGACGTCAGGGACTTTGGTGGGGGTATTGACCCGCATGTGGGGGGAAGCAGCTGATTTTGGGTCCGGGGTTGGCTCCAGCTTACTTGGGGACAGGTGAGTCGTCTAGTCAAATGAGGATACTTTACTGGAGCAGTTGGGTGACTTTGAGTTGCAACCGGTCATGAGGATTGATTCCTTTGGCAGGCGGGGTTTGTCCGGGGTTATGTCAAGTTTGGTGGACGATGCGCCGCCCGATGGGTATCGTAGCAGCCCCGCGCTCTGTCACTTTTCACAAATCCAGCTGACTTGATAGGACAACGTCCGAGATGTGCTGTTGCAGCCCTGCCATGACTGTCGATGCTGCAGTGGGTTCAAGCCATGTTGCTGCCTCAGCTGGACCTGGATAGGGGCATGGGGAGGCATTGATCAATTGCTCGGTGGGGGCGGCACACATGCGGAGCCGCAGGTGCGGTTCCGCGAAGTGGATATCTCGGTCTGCGGATTGCGAACCGAGGCGGAGCCGGCGCCATGAGTGGTCAATGGCCCCGCCTTACCGGTGCATCCGGGGGATTCGGCGCATTGGGATTTAATCGACGAGCACCCGTTCTCCGTTGTTCCGGCGTCGCAAAATACTACAAGGTATTGTAATAAGCTCTTTCGTTCTCACTTCCAAACAACATCTTTCTTTGCTCCAAATGAACCAAGTTAGATCGGTTCCATCACGCCCTCACAGGCGATGCTTATGACGGACCCGGGCAGGCGACTCGGATCAGATCGGAACCAATTCAGATCCACAGCGGAAGCAGAAAGGGTCCGTAGTTCCGCGGCACGCGGGCAGCGGACTCTCGCTCGAGGAACTCGGTAAACCAGCCCGAAACGGACCAAAAGTCAGCCACGCCGGGATCTGAGACACGTTGGCTATTTCCGGCTGAACTGCAAATCCGACCTGTGCATTCCAAGACATGCACAGGTGAACTCTGTCCGAGTCGTGTTTCTCCGGGCGGGACTCACCGCGAAAAGCGGGGCATTCTCAGTAAGCTGACAGAAAGGCGTTGCACGACGTATGCAGGCCATCAGCACAGGTCGTTTTCTTTAGTGCTTCAATTGGACCAAGTCATGCTTCTGTAACTTAATTAAGAGAGTAAGTTGTCAGTAGCACTTTGCAAACAAATTCCGTTCCGAATTGGCAAGCGGGCCCGTACTCAGCGCTCAAGTCACGGACAGCGGGGGCGGGTGAGCCGTTCGTCATTCTGCCGTATGGCCCCGCCATCGGCTGCACAGGCCCCACTACCCCGCCGTCGCCCCTGGCGGCAAGCTGACCCGAACGCGCCATGACTTCATGCTCAACCTCCTGTCGTACGTGACAACGTGTGCCTACCTTCCGTTACATTAACTCAATCTCACCGCCATCTCACGCTCATCCCGACCTCTTTTCATCTTTCAACTCACGAACGCCTCTTTCACACCAAACCCTCTTCCATCGTCTTGAACCGCAACTCTGATCCCTCGTAGCTATTACATTCAATCTCAGTAATCATGGCCACCTCTCCCAGCGCCAAGCGTCAGAGGTCCTCCAAGGATGTCCCGTACGAGCTCATCTACTGGCCTGGTCTTCCCGGCCGCGGCGAGCACATCCGTCTCGCTCTCGAGGAGGCCGGCGCCGAGTACACCGACACGGCGCACATCGAAGACGGCGTGAAGTCGGTCCTGGCTCAAATTGACGCCAATAACACCGGCGACGACCACAACCCGCCTCCTCTGGCCCCTCCAATCCTCAAGCACGGCGACCTCGTCATCAGCCAAACACCCAACATCCTGCTGTACCTGGGCCCCCGCACCGGCCTGGCCCCCAAGCCCGATGGCGAGGACGCGGACGGCATCTACCGCATCAACGCGCTTGTGCTGACCGCGTTGGACGGGCTGAGCAACGAGGTTCACGACACGCATCACCCGATTGCAACGGGGCTGTACTACGACGATCAGAAGGAGGAAAGCAAGAGGAAGGCGAAAGATTACCTTGAGAACCGTCTGCCGAAATTCCTGGGCTACTTTGAGAGGGTTCTGAAGGGCAAGGCCAGTGGTGAGGGCCCGTGGCTGTATGGAGGCTCCTTGACATATGCCGACTTGGTTCTGTTCCAGGTGAGTTCATTTCGACGTGCGCAGGTTTGAAGGTGGTGCTGACATAAGCAGTGTGTCGATGGCGTCAAGTTCGCGTTCCCCAACGCGCTGAAGCGGATCGAGGGAAGCGGCGAGTACAAGGCGGTTTTCGAACTCTACGAAGCCGTCAAAGAGCGCCCCAAGATCAAGGAGTACCTTTCCAGCGACCGTAGGCAGAAGTACAGCGACGGCATCTACCGTCACTACCCGGAATTGGATGAGGAGGCATCTGCGTAGAGACGATTTTTTCAACGACGTGGACAAATGATGACAAAAGGGAGAAAACAAAAGTATTGTTTATTTGGCTTACTCGTGAGCCGCATCCACTAAAAAAAAGCCTCCTTCAAAGAAATAAGTGAGCTCTTGACTTGCTCATCCATTGCTGTGATTGGTCAGTGTCAGTTGCAACAAACGGAAAGAGCTGCTCTCGACACCCCCTTCCCAAGTAACACCTAGTTGCTTGATGGACTGCCACCACTGCATCTTGAAGTTCACCTTCGCCGCGTCAAACTTCAAAATTTTCAGCCTTCACCTCAACAACACCAACCCCACGCAGGCCATCGCAACATGGCGCGCTCCCACTTAGAGGTAAGTTTTGCTACCAGTAAGAAGGTTGCTCTCAGCGTGTCTTTTACATAAATATCCAGACCATCAACGCCCGCTTCCGATCAGCCGCAAATTCAGGCACCCTGAAGCCAAGAGGAGTCTTCAATAACAGAGACAATCAGTTCATCAGGGACATCAAAGATTTCTACAAGAACTTGAAGAAGCGCGTCAAGGCCCATTCGGACAAGGTCGATGGTTATGAGTCGCCTCCGGACGATTCGCCTGATGAACAAGACCAGAGAAGTGACGCCACAGCTGACAAGGAGGACCAAGCTGTCGCCCGTGGAGGCTCCATTGACCCCAGCAACGAGGTATGTGATCTGTTCGCACCTACCTCACTCACAAAGACCACGCGCTCTTTGACAATGTCACTGACACTGAACAGGACTACCAGCGTCAGAAGGCCCGCGAATACTTCAATGGCCTCATGTCGAGAGATCCTTCCGCCTCTGAGCCCATCCTGAAAGTTGCTCGTGATCTTCTTCAGTATTTTGATGGCTTGGAAAGACCGCTTCCTCCTCCTTCCCAATCGACCCTCAATCTTGACCCCATCCGAATGGAGAAACTCCGTCATCTCCATCTTCTCAATTCAGTCCGACTTTCCAACGAGATGAGCTCATCAAAGTACCTAGCTGCTGCCGTCCAACATCCCCGCCCGGCACCTCGCCCAGTAGTACCCAACAAAGCCATGCCTCCTGCGAACATTCGCGCCGCGATAAGTAGCTTCAGCTGGCAATCCAAGTTCCTCGAGATGGACTCGATGCCGGGGGGTCCGAGTGAGGTAGTCATCGTGCCCGTTCATCGCGCAAAGGGTCAGCCGGAGCAACAACAGAGAGGTGGACAACGCAAGTGAGGCATCGGACGAGATTGATCAAGAGAACGAGAGCAAGTGTGTTTGATTAAACTACCGAGAGAGGTTCGTCCCCCAAAACTCACTGCCCCAAAATTCTCGTTCTTCAAGTTCCTGACAGAGGCGGTTTACAGGGTACCGGTTTGTCCGCCGGCAGTGCATGTATCCACGGTCTGGCCCTGGTTGAGGACGGAGACCTCGTTGGGAGGAATTTCCTGAACGCAACGGCCGAAGCGGTCGCATTCGCCATCCTTGCTGCCGACGCTGCATGCGGTTCCAACGTTGCCGAAGAGAGCGCTTCCCTTGCCGTCGATGAAGTTACGGGGAACAGATGCTGTACGAAAGATCAGTGTCAGCGAGGGGTTGAACTTGCGCTAGGCTTGGAGTTGCGAGAAGACGGGAAGTTCCGTACCTGCGGCAGCATGGCCCATGGCGAAGGCAGCAACGGTGAGGAAGACGGCGGTGATCTGCATGATGGCGGTTGTTGTAATGTTGAGTAACTCAAAAACGATGAGACGAGGGTATTAAAAGTAGATGCTCCGGGCACTAAGAGAATTGAAGAAATTGAAAACGAGTCTATTGCGATGAAAGAACTGATGAGTTGGATGATGAGACAATGTTGATGGTGTTCTTCATGATGCTTTATATCTCCCATTTTGCCCAACGCCTCGCCATCCTATATTCGCCCATTCTAAGCTTCAATTCTAGCTTAATTCTGCCCACTACGAGGGGACCCGGGGTAGCGCACCTCCCTCAAACAGTCTGAGACGCGTGATGATCGTTACAGTGGGTGTCAGCTCGACGCCTAATAAGACGTCGCATTATGGGTGGGGTCGAACGCTGAAAGAAAGTTCGCTATCGGTAAATCATGGTGATCATCGCGCAAACTCTGGGCGACTTTAAACGCTCCCGCGGCAGATCACCGTGAATTCTTTCCCTCAATGTCAATTCCCCTCTGGTGTCTTTTGTAACGATGGCGTTGACTTGCAGAAATCACCAACGTCGGCAACCGGCATCGAGGGCCAAGATCTCGCAGTACATCCAATACGTAACAGCGTCCCATCCTGGCCTTTCCGCTGCCACTACCGCACCGTCAACTGATCCGTGCCACCAAGCTGCCAGACGCCAGCTGGAGGCGAGAACACTGCTGACTCAGGCCCACCGGTGGGATTTACCTGGCGAGCACGTAGCGAGACGGAGAAGCCTAGTGGTCATAAGCTTGCATCACGGCGTTTCATGTCCCTTACAGCGATCTGTGAAACATCAGACGATGGCCTTATTCTGCTCAGCTCTGACAGCTGCCATCCAATGGCACACTGCTTAAAATCATCCCGTCCCCAACCCGCGGCTCCCGTGGGATGGTGTCGCGTGTCTCGACCGGCAGCGTTACCGGCTGGGCTTTGTGTGGTTTGTGGTACTTGCTCAAGATGAGCGGGTAAGACTTCCGCTGTGGCCGTGATGGCGCACCCAAAGTCCGCTTGTGCTAGAAACTGATCGAGTGTTGTGCCACGGGTGAGGAACAGGTCATTCTGTTCAACCCAAGACGGTTGCCTTTGGCAGGATGCCTAACGCTCAGTGATATTGTTTGTATATGAGGGATCTAGGACATAAGAGTAAGGCTAGCTCGAGGTTTCTTAAGATGCCCAAAAGCATTGTTTCCTCGAAGACGCTCAACACCAGCGTAGACACAACCTAGTTACAGCTATTTTATCAAAATCGTCGAGTGACTTTTATTGATGCAAGCCACATAGACCGCAAGGGGCCTGCCTGGCAAGAGCCTAAGAGGTGGCTGATCTCGTCGGAGTTCTAGTCCTCGACTTTTGTGGCTACAGGCACATGACTAGCTGGCATGTGACAACGACAGAGGGCTAAAGACCAATCATTGGCGATGCTAGAGCACTGGTCGAGTCGTGGACATATATACTTGTTGTAAAACATGCACGAACCGATTGCAACTAGAGGTCGAAGACAAGATCAAGTCCAAGTCGTCAGGTTGGCTGCTATTTATCAGCTTTCAGTTCATGTCTGAATTCAAGCTGGCAATTAATCTTACACTCCAGAGGGACATTGACCATGGCCTTAGGAATTTACGATCGCATCCTTCGTAACTTCTTCTGCGGAACTTTAGACAAGCAATGACGATGGAGTCGATTCCCTCTAGAGTTCTACCCTTTGTCTCAGGGAAGAGCTAACATATGACGACAAAAATGGGCACATTCCAAAGACAATTGAGGATGTAGTATCTCCATGAGAGGTTTTGGATAGCGAGCGGGATAGCATAACTCAAGCCTGCCCCAACGAGGTAGCCAAGGGCGGAACCTATTTGATCATCCATCCTTCAGTCGTTCAAATTTGCGCCAAAACACAGACTTTTGCTGTCTGTAGTCAATTGTTCTCTTAAGCGCCGACTTGTATGTTCTTCGTTTAGAGTTACCGGGCGCTAGTCTTCAATCTCTGGGCTGACAAATCTCATCTGAAAATACAAGATTGACGCTTTCTCTGACTCCGAGGTCACCGTCTTCTATCCTCCTCCAGACGTTTTGATCACAATTGAGATATTGTATTTCCATTGCCGAATCCTACTGTCTAATGCGGCGTCTTGAATCTGCCTAACGCCTCCCACCGCATCTCTACCGCAACAAAAACATGATCGTCATGAACGCATGACGAGTCCATCTATCAACCATTATATCACATCACCTGCGAGATCGGGCGAACAGTACCCCGCTATCTGGGTGACTATTCACTTCTGAGATGGAGTGCTCAATACACTGACTCGTTGTACCGCGACTGCATCCAATGGGTGGTTGACTCATCTCCGAAGAAGGAAAATTGGAGTATCACGAGAGTCATACAGCGACTAGCCTTAAGGTTTGGGTCGATTCATTCGCTTCGTGGTTTGTTTCCTCTCCATCTGTAGTTTATCGTGTACTCTACGAAAACTTTATTCTCTAGACTACCGTCTGTACGATATACGAGTAGGTGGACGATCCACCTTACGGACATGTCGGCCTCCCTCGCGGAGAGCTAGAAGCTGCGATAGATGAATTGTCCGGCGGGATAGTTCGTAATTAATGTTTTCCTAGTTGTCAAAATGTTTCTTTGAAAGTAAAGCACACGTTCAATCAGTTGCTGCCATTAACGTACAGCGCAAAACCATCGAAATTTAGGTGCCATCTTAATGATGGTCTGGCGGTCCCCGATGGCGCTTGGATATGTACCGCATGCACCGGGATCTACCTGAGTTCGGAGCGTTGGACGGACACCGTGACTTCATTCCACCTTTGGGCCGTGACAACAGACGAACGACGTTGATCACGGATGCAAGTCCCGAATTCTCGTTTTTGAGGAGTCATGGGGACGAAATGCCCAAGGAAACTTTACGCTAGCAGCATGCTGTGCCTCATGACTGCCACGATACTCATCTAGTACCACTTTGAGGTCGATGAAGCTGCCGGAAGGACAATTACTTGAACAACAACAACCATTTCCAAGCCAAATTTGAAAGCCCAGGTCGCAAACGGTGGTCTCCCAGTTTCGGACAGTTGCGGCAGAAGCCCCCAAGAGAAAGCCTCTACTGCGTGTTTTCCGCAGTTACGGATACGAGGTACGAGTAATCCGTTATTCTCGGCCGATTAATGATTTAAATGCAACACCTGTAATTATTTCCGGGCTGGCTGTGTGTTGCTAGGTTGTGAAACGGTGGGGGTGCCGTGGGCCTCAGCTTCCTGTTCCGGCATAGCTCTCTTATTGGACATGGGGATCAAACATCGGCGTAATAATAGCAGCAAAAAGTATCCCATCGGCTCCCGACAAAACGCCAGAAACCCAAATCCTTCACAAGCTTCTAGTGCAAAATTATCAGAGTTCAATCTCAGAAAAAAGAAGAAAGCAAACGTCTTGTTCACAGTGTTTTTATGGATTCAGCTGTCCTCCGCAGGGGCACGTGGTAGTACGGGATGACGAACTCATCAGGGGCCGGTTAGCCGCAAGTTGCTATAAAAGAGTAAATAGGGAAAGAGACGAATGGATCTGCAGATCATGATGCCTTCCCATCCACCACGGTCCGCTTCTTAAGGTTGCGGTTTGTCCGATTGCCTGCCGTCTTGACATGCGCTCCTCTGGGATAGAACAAGGGTTGGGCAAGGCTTGACAGGACCTCAGCTGGGCTCAGCTGGTGGGCAGGCGCTTCTTCGACCTTACCATTCAGTGTTCCGAAAGTCTTTAATGCCGGAAGGGAGTAGCCTAGACTACAGTCTCCCGTTGATCTTTGGAATAGATAATAACAGTATCACCGTGTCTTGTGAAAGCTGCATGCCGCTATTGAGGAAAATCTTCCAAGGGCATCTGCTCCAAGTCTCAGCCATATTGATTGGGGCGGGCATTGAATTGAAGTCTTGCGGTGAGTGGTCTCTGACTCGTCACAACCCCTACGGGCCTAACCAGGAGGAGACGCTCGTTATTCAATGCATCCAAGCGAGACCACCATGCTTGAGTCATGAGTTAAGATCTACAACATACATATACAAACCAACAAGAACTACTCACCTGTGCAGTCGTCACCAGTTGTAGCACCCAACCGCTCAGTCCTTCGTTTTTCAACTTTCGCTCACATACCTAGCCAACATGAAGTTCGCTGCTGTCCTTTCCGTCGGCTCTCTCTTGCTTGGATCCGCCAATGCGTGGTGGTGCACCTCCTACGGCAAGGAAGCGTACCATCTGAGCTGCAAGGCCTTGTACCCTGTATGTCTTTACAAGAACGTGGCATACATCTGATAGCATCTGGATTTATTAACACATGACTTCCTGTCAGGACCGCAACACTTTCTGTTGTAGCGAGGCAGAGGGAGGAGACCGCCACACCTGGCGAGGCGACTGCTTAATGTCCTATGACGAAGGCTCCGCTTGCGGCGACGGCGGATTTGAGGGTTGCGTAAGTCATGTCTCTTCTCAGATCTCAAGTTTGCAACACTACTGACGTTATTGAACAGTGCTATTAGGAGTAGGCAAGGCGCATGTTCATGAAGCAATTGGTCGAGCGGGGCAATATGTACATAAATGAGATACCAGCCAAACACAGGCCGACCCATTCAAGCTACCATTTCGCTAGAGAGGATTCCGTTCAGCTCAGAAATAGCGGTGTCTTCTCACAGCTCGATAGAATCCATGTTGATCTTTGTGGGAGGTGCGATCCCGATGACACGCAGTTCACTGCTCCCATTAACATTGCTGTGATTTGCAACCTCTGCGACAATCAACCACAGCAATATGTCTTATAGAACGATGCAGCTGCTGACAGTGGAGATGTAGTTTGTTCTAGCACGTCCAGACTTAGTTCCTGCCTCATTGAAGCCTCCAGCATCCCTAATCAGTACCTCTCAAATACAAAGCCGTTTTGCGAAGCCGTTTTGCGAAGCCGTTTTGTGAAAATTTGTGTAAGTTAGTTATGAGGTTTCCACGTCTTTGATAACGCTCAGCGGTGGTGGGCAGCTATTGAAAGCCGAAGGGTACCCGAAACAAAACGGCTCTGACCAGCGGTAATGTGTGGGCCTAGGCAAAGACCTTCCGCTGACGAAGGAGAGGCAAGTTGAAGACGTCCGATTTCAAAGGCGGCAACAGTGTACTTCATCTGAGTTTCGATATCGCCCTGCACCACAGGATTCTCAGGGGGAAAATCGTTGACCTCTTCTCTGACGACGCCCTATGGAACATTATGACTACCATTACTACTTCTTTACTCAATTGTGATATTCAAGTTTCGCTGAATATAACCATTGTCCATTGCTTCAGTTGGACGTTTAGCATCAGCTGATTCATGTCCTCTTCCATCTAACGCTTGAACGAACTCCTCATAGTAGTCTCTCTCTGGGTCTTCATCAACATTTGGGTACGTGTCGAAATTCCTCACATTGAATGACCCAAGACGACAAAAGCGACCCCCATCACCAGTGTTTTGACCACAGGCTCGGAGAACAAGGCCACAGATCGTCAGTTGATCTTCCCATTCTTCTTCCGGGTCATCCGATGCGTTTGCCTCATCGAATCCGTGCTCCTTCATATCGTCATTTGGTTCTCCCTCGCTCTGCGCTCGCGTCCGTGCCCGCCTAGAACCCCATGATCCACCGTAGATGGGAAGCAAGTAGACCTCATCGCAGTCCCCCTCGTCGCTCAATGCGTCTATAAAGACAGGGAATCTTTCTTTCGCTCCATTGACTCTGACATATTGGTAGTGATGGTTCTCGTCTTCGTCGGATATTTCCTCGAATTTCGCAGCCCCAAGAAGGCGGGCTTGCACAAGAACGGAGCACGCTAGCGAAAGCAAGCCGTCGCTCACTTTGCCGAAATAATCCGGGCTAGAGAGCGTAGTCCATGCATCGGTTACGCTGATGTATTGTTTCATGTTGACGCGATGATCCTTGAAGTCGATGTCCCATCCCCATGCCAATATTGGGCTATCGACGGATATCCACGACCAAGAGGGAGCTCTCCAAGCTGGCCTTCTCCGACGTCCAATAACCGCCCACACAAGTTCGGTGACAAGAGACTCTCTCCACATGCCTGCGAGGTATTGGTGGCCAGTGACCTCTTGTTGACGTCTAGCGATACCGGCCAAAGCGGGTAGGTGATCCTCAGGATCTGTAAGTTGAGCGCGAGAATACTGGGAGACAATGTCACGCCACCTCCAAGCTCGGTCTTCCGGACAGACGAGGTGTGATCTGGCTAGACCACTAATGCCAGGCGGAAGGAATTCTGATCGGAAGCCGGACCTGCATTCCCAGAAAATACCAGTATTGCCAAAGTAAATTGTGCGGGCGGGAAGAAGCCTCTCCTGTAGAGTCCAGGCTCGAGTGGCCAAATGCGTGTACGTGAAAGATTCATCATACACGGTATCACCATAGAAATTGCGGACTGCGGTAAATTTGTTTGAGCTCACTCGAGCATAGAGTCCCCCACTGTAGTACTTGTAGCGCTCTGCTTTCGAGAAGAAGCCCTCGTCAACGTTGGTCGCGGAGGATGCGGCGAGGTTGACATAGCTATTGCCGTAGACAGATCTCATGCGGCTGGATTCAATGGACCAATCTTCGGGGTCATGTTGGACTATGCAAAGAGCGTCGATCCAGATGTACGAAAGTCCTAGTTGCTTCGCCACATGAATAGCATCTCGGAACGTTTGTGGCAGATCGCTGACAGAAACACCTTCCAGAAACGACTTCATCGTATTCTGAGTCAGGCTCAAAAATGGCCTAAGACCCCAGCAATAGCTCAGTGTCGCGTATTGCGGCATAGTGTCGAGGGCTTCAGTGTGCACCACTCTGGCATAATCGCAGTCAAAAAAGAGTAGCCTTGCAGGGCAATCATACTTTTTTTGATTGACACAGACTTCGTGAGAGGTTTTGCATTCACGCAGCCACATTCTAGCAAGGTCGTATGCGTCACGGTTTTCTTGCCAGGACGAATCTATATCTATTAGCCCAAGCACGCATTAATGGATTCTCGAGTAAGACAATATTGTGTGCTTACATGATGGTTGCGTCAAATCAGAGTAGAACTTAGTAGCTTGAGCGCCAGGATTGTTGCAGTGAGTGGCCTCCTTCCCTGGAAAGTTTAACCATATGATATGCGGTTTGAATGGCCCCTCGCCCCAGTTCTGAATGGCCAAGGACATGAAGCCATTGTGACCGAATGCTCTGAGCCGCAACTCGATCCTCTGAAAGGTAAGTAATACTCCCGCTTGAACTAATCTCCAGTGTATAAGGGCACACAATCCGCATCCAGCACTGGCTGCCGCTTCGATCTCGCAAATGCTACTGAAAGAGCGTCCTTGCATCAAAGTCCAACCTCCGATCGATAGGTCTGGCCAGTGTTGCAACAGATCTCGACACTCGCCGCAAAATCCGTCCGCGATGTTCATCGTATGTGCGAGCCTCTGTATCTCGATTTTGATTCTCTGATGGTCAATCCTATCCTTCTCAACCTCTTGAACAAGATCTGAATCGGCTCCGACATCATCGCCATCAGCTGCGAGATATCTTTCAGCCCACGTATCGGGTACGTTGTCATTGGTCATGGCGGTAGTTTTGCCGAAAGAGGCGGAGGACTCTCGAGTAACAGGATCCATCTCATTTGGTGAGCTGACGAGAGGCTGACGAGAGGCTGATGTACAGGTTGTAGTTCACGAGTTGAGTGAGGATTTAAGGCGTGCCAGCCTGATCAGTTTGATGAAGATGCAATAAGCACTTGGCGAACGAGCGTGTCATTGATTGATTGGCTCGCTTTCTCGATGGAATGCAGCAAAGTGGAACACTACGCGTCATTGTAGACCAATGAAGAGCCATTCTGGAAGTTTGATATGCGCTCGAAGTGCTCTTTATCAGAAACTTCATTATCAAGCTCGGAGCCAATCTGATGGGTGGACGGTTTCATCACGAAAACAACGAAACCATGAATTTCCTCAGAATTGTCATTTAGTAATATGAAATTCTATAGTTCAGGAGTGCTACACGCAGCTTAAACGTTAAGCGGTGACCGCGTTGAGAGCCGTCTAGAAGTTAAATGTGGTTGAACGATAACCCCAATTTCGAATAGGAACACGTAGGCCCAAAATACGTGGAGACATGACTTCTGGAGGCCTGTACTGCAGGGCTTGTTGTATTTTCATAGTTTCGCGTTCATTAGACAACCTGGGGATTATATTATGAAGAGGCATTCAGTAGGCATATCATGGACAGGAACTGGCCAGGTTAAGACGTCTTGCTGGGAGGCGATGTTCAAGCCACATGGTTCAAATGCACTCAAGCTAAAATCAGCCACCCAGCCACGGTTCAGCCACACTAAATGGCCCTGAATCTTTTTGCCCTTACTGTTGATTGGCGCGGTATTCGAACATCTGCCCCTTAAAGCCATTCGCTAGTTGTTGTCTCTTCAAAGGCATGCGTCATGAGGACTTCGTGCTTCGCCAGTAACAATTTCCAAGCACATAGAAGACATTGAAGCAACAACTCTTCCAGCAAACGTCATCAATTCATCTCACGTGTCTTGGCCAATTCTTGATTGCATCTCCTCAGACCCGAGGATCCGGTTCGCCTTTCCCACGTGCGGAGTGGAGATGCCTCGCCGGTAGTTCGCGTCGGGTCGCGTCGGGTCGCATGTCGGAAGCGCCGTCACGCCCGTGGAATCATCGTCAGTCCAGCGCAGTGGGGCTGCGCATAACATGATCGAATGTCGGGAACCATCAGCGCAATCACATGACATTGATCGTGGCTGAAATCCCTTTCATCAAGTTGTAGTTCCCAATAAAGGTGTTGCGCAGAATTAAGAGTCAGCACTAACAATGACTACCTCGGTCCAAGACCGCTTTGTGCCAGACCTTAGCTCCAGGCAAAGACCCACTTAATCGGCTGCAAAAACCCGTTCGTGGCATCGTCGACGGACGACTTCCGAAGGCCGGTCCCTGGGATTCTGGGCTGTCAGTTGGTCACAGCGGCCACTGACGCGAGTCAAACCCACCCCCAAATTTATCGTTGGCGCCGTCCGACGCGACCTGGGAGACAACTCCAAAGTCCTCCATGTTTTCTCCACCCAAGTACCCCGTGGGGATGGGATCCGACTGGTTACGTCGGACGCAGGGCAGGATAAATACTCTTTGACAGCCAAACTGCCCCCGGAAAAAGTGTGATCCCCGTGCGTGTCGATGTCTAGATAATCAATCGGACGGCTCCCAACGTCTTTGGCAAATCTCACACCCGCTACGACCACCTCTTCGCACCGCAGCAACGCAATCATGGGTGGTTTCAAGGCTGTCGAGGATCGGCCGACGCCGAAGGAGGTCTACAACTGGCGGCTCTACATTGAGGCTTCCATCATCGCAACCGGATCTTTGCTGTATGATATGACGAGACTTGCTTTGAAAATTGACATAACTGACGGTCCTCAGGTTCGGTTACGACTCTGCCTTCATCGGAACCACGATCGCACGAACTGGTTTCAAGAGAGACTTTGGAATCACCTCGGAGAACTCTAACAACATCTCGAGTAACATCACCTCGGCGTTCCAGGCTGGTGCTCTCGGCGGCGCGTTGCTCTGCTTCTTCAGTATGATGACCTCCTTCTAGCCAAACAGACAAGAGCTGACATGTCCCAGTCACTGAGCGCCTGGGCAGAAAATGGACTCTGCAGGCCAACGTCGTCATCTTCCTCGTCGGCGCCATTCTCATGGTTGCCGCGACAAACCAGCTGTCTTACATCTGTACGTTAATACTTACACCCGTTCTCTTTTAACAGTGACTAACATTATGAGTTCAGATGCGGGTCGCGCGCTGACGGGAATCGGATGCGGTGGCATCACGGCCACCGTCCCCTCCTACATCGGTGAACTCTCGATCCCCTCCATTCGCGGCATCCTCACCGGTCTCTTCGAAGTTGCCTACCAGGTCGGTTCCGTCATCGGCTTCTGGATCAACTACGGCATCACTCAGAACATCAACCCCAACTCAGCAACCAGTTGGAGAATCCCGATGGCTTTCCAGCTTGTACCTTCCGGCATCCTCTTCATCGGCTGCTTTTTCATCCACGAGAGTCCCCTGTGGTTGATGCGCAAGGGCAAGACTGAGCAGGCGCACAAGGTTCTCGAGTCCATCAGACATCTCCCCATCGATCACAAGTGTAAGTCTCTCTTTGCCCAGATCCACGATCAACTACTGACCTTGTCGCCGAACAGACATGCAAGAAGAAATCGACATGCTCCAGAAGAAGATGGACGAAGAGGCCGCCGTCGCCAGCGCCTACGGCACCGGCCAGTGGGCCTACTTCCGTGGCGTCGCCAGCACGCTCTGCCGTAAGGGCATGTGGAACCGCCTCGTGCTTGTCTTCTGCGCCTTCGCCCTCAACAACCTCTCCGGTGCCGCCGCCATCAACTACTACTCCCCGACCCTCTTCGCGTCCATCGGCATCACCGACGTCGCGCTCTACACCGGCATCTACGGCCTCATCAAGGCCATCGCCTCCATCATCTACTTCATCTTCCTCATCGACCTGCTCGGCCGCCGCTGGCCCGCCATCATCTCGTCCTTCGTCTGCTCGCTCTGCCTCTGGGTCGTCGGCGCGTACGTCAAGATCGGCCACCCGGCGGACATCATCGCCGTCGGCAAGGAGCTCTCCGCCTCGACCGCCGCGGGTGGCAGGGCGGCCACGGGCATGATTATGATCTACTCCATCTGCTGGTCGTTCGGGCTCAACGGTATTCCATGGATCGTCTCGGCTGAGATCTTCCCCGGTGCGCTGCGCAACTTCACCGGAACGTATGCCGCTCTCGTCGTCTGGGCTACGCAGTTTGCTATCACGAAGGCGCTTCCGTACATCTTCAGCTCGTTCGGCTACGCGACGTGGTTCTTCTTCGCCGCGTGGATGATTGTGGCGACCCTGTGGGCCTTCTTCTTCCTGCCTGAGACCAAGGGTCTCACCATGGACCAGATGGATGTCATCTTGTACGTTTGTTCTTTTCCCTCTAAAGCCAGCCCGTTTTTACTGACTCCTTTCCCTACAGTGGCTACGCACACGACGCCCGTCCGGAACCATCGACCAAGGTCGTCGACACTGCTTTCGACGATATCGACAAGGCGAAGCGAAGTGAGCACACCGAAGATGTGTAGATGTTTGTTGAATGATTAGGATTTGCAACGCCAGTTCATGGTTGGAAATGAAGCCCAAACAATGATGGGAGGAAAGTGTAGTTAATAATGAGATACCACCATGATGAAATAAACCACATCACGAAGTATTCGATTCAACGTTTCGTGAGAAGGATTGAGGAATTTCTTGCTTGCTGTGCATAGCTGTGTGCGACCCCATGTCATGGATGAATTGGCTTCATCAAATTTCCCTGGCATCACAATCAAGCCTAACGTGCGATGATGAGCACTTCATATCTAACTCACTATCACGAAACATGGCGTCGGCGCTGGATGCTTGATCCATCATTAGTTCTCAGTCCCGTCAACATTGAGTGATGCAGGACGATATTGGCAGCTGTATGGCCAACTTACATACCGCAGCCAGACGTTTTGAGACAGCTCAAGTTAGACAAGGTCAAAGATTTGATAACCAACAAATGGAAATCCAGTGAGCACCCTTCCGGTAAGGCCACACTTAGAGAAATGAATCCCAATAAGAACCGAAGGCAATCCAAGAAGTTTACGAACCAAGGCACATTATCTCATA